AATATCGATGATTACAATCCAATCCAAGGGGCAAATTACTACTGAAAAGACTGAAAGCACTGAAATCCACAAAAACAACTGAAAAGTACTGAAAAGAACTGAAAAATTTTTTCAGTACTTTTCAGTGTTTTTCAGTATTAAAATAGATCGGGATTTTTGACAGTTGAAATTTGTTTTGACAGATCTGCCAACTATTCATTTTTCTCCTCGAAAATTAATGACATTTTCAGTACTTTCATATACTTATACATATACATTGGGTACTGAAAGTACTGAAAACCACTGAAAAGTACTGAATTCAATTTTTCAGTCGTAATTCGTCCCTTGATCCGATCCTAATTTATCGAAAATCGAACCATTAAATGGGTGCATTACTCACCTCTTTATCGCATGTGATTCGGTAGATAAGTTGAGGCAAATAAAAATGTGATGATAAAATTCTAGGAATTAATTATGGGTAAGTCGTGCTTCTTGGAAACAAGAAAGTTTTTCAAAGGCTCAAGTTTTAATTAAAACCATTAAATTTCCAATCGATTTGTTCAACAAAATCAAAAGTATTCACAAAAGATTACATTAAACAAAACTTTAAATTGAATGCATGAAAAATCGAACCGCATTGCATTTCCGAACGAAAACTTATGAACCTTTTTTTTAACTTTTTGTTTTCGGCGTCCACATTTAAAGTGTGCACGATCCAGCGCATTTCCAGCATTTATCACAGTCAGAATCTTGGTTACATGTGACATATTGGAAACTTTGTGAATATGATCGAGTCGTGTAGCACCATTCTCCACCTGTATTAAGTTCAATTGATTTCAGTTCATTGAAGGCATTCAAGTCAACATGTAACGATTTAAAATCATTCTACCTGTGAGACTGACACCGCACCATGCCCAACAATAGCCTTTGTGACAACCGGCTTTCTCGCTGCACGCATTTGAGTTCGCGATTGATTTTTTTATCCAATCAATTCCAACACCGATACCTGCGCCGCCAACTGCACCACCCACACCACTCTTTTTACCCTCTTCAGCCGTATTCGTGTTTGGCTTTAGCATTCTTTTCGTAAATGAATTATTTTCATTATTTGCCATTTTGATTTTTTTTTAAGTCGTTTTGAAAAAAACGGGTTTTTATTGATTGTTTCTTGCTTTTGTTACTTTTTTATTCTTTGTTGACGACTCACCACCGGGCCTACCCGTCAACTAGTAGAGACTGTGTCCACAAGAAGATTTGGCCGTTACAGTCGTTCGGCATTTATTGCGAGGAAAGATGTTAATATCCTCGCAAACTTAGCACACCCTGTCCGAGCTCGACTAACCAACCCGGAACTGATGATTTTGGCCCCGTACTCAATCGTGAGTGCAGTCTTCTCAGGGGTGGAAACCTTGGGAGTCGAAACCCAAAGGAGTATAAGTGCCCCGGACTCATCTGATGTTGATGATGAGCCACTCCCTCCCGCCCAATATGGCACAAAACCTGAAGAATTTGTCAATTGTGATAGTAAATTTGACAATAGTTAAAAATCAGGAAAAATAAAAAAAAAATCGATGAAATTCACAAATCAATTTAAAATGTGTGGTTTTTGGTATTAGAAAGAATGGAAATTTCAATTTAAAAACGAATTCGATGTTTGTTTGGAAATTTTTGAAAAAAAAAATTTCCAATTTTTGCCAAGGGGGTGGTACCCTTTGACAAAAATATTGAAAAAATTTTCACCCTTGGCAAAAATTGGAATTTTTTTTTTTCAAAAATTATCAAACAAACACCGAATTCGTTTTTGAATTGAAATTTTCATTCTTTCTAATACCAAAAACCACATATTTTAAATTGATTTGTGAATTTCATCGATTTTTTTCGATTTTTCCTGATTTTTATGAACATTTAACACATATAATTTATTCAATGATAACTTTGGTACAATTATCGAAAAGTGATGAAATATGATTTTTAGTGTTTTTTTTTCAGATTCCAGCCAATCAAAACCATTTTGGACATTCGGTTGAAATGCCATCTTGTCAATTGAATTTACGGCGAAGTGTTTTGGATTTGCGAAAGATAAATCTGAATGAAGTAAAGATGAGTTCAAATCGTTGCTTGACTTGAACGCCTTTAATAAACTGATTTCAAACGAATTCTATACTCATTTTATATGAAAAAAATCGTTAGTTTTTTGTGCAAATAAAATTCAACAACTGCAGTTCTTTATACATAGTTTCTGTTGATCTCGGTTGCTACGTCACTTGTAATCGTGAGATTGAAAAGATCAATCGGTCAGGGAAATCCATGCTATAAACAAAATAAGTGCGATATTGAGTGAATATAAAAGATTTTTCCGCATTTTTGGTCTTTGATTTGTTTTAATTAGTTCAAGAGCAGAAAACACAGATGATTCTTCAATTTGTTCTCATTTCAGTTGCATTATTCTTGGGGCCGCTTATATATGCAGTCGAAAAGACTGCATATAGCGGGTGTCGCTATATGCAGTCGGATTTTTTTCATACAACTGCATTTAACCGTAACCGCTATATGCAGTCGAATTTTTATTTTCGTCTTTTGTCTGCATATAGCCGCTGGCGCTATATGCAGCCGAAATTTTAACCTAATATTTATTTATTATATTCATATTTTTCGACTGCATATAGCTGCTGCTGTTAAATGCAGTCGACATTTTTTAGCGCGCCTTCACTTTCTCAGAGCTAAAAATGCGAATTAAAAATAAACGTTAAATTGTTCTGTGACCGCAGCAAATCGAATCGGAAATCTCCAGCTTCCACCGAAGAAAAAACGACAAATATCTCCTCAAAAATGAAATAAAATTAAAAAAAAAACGACTATAATTCCATCTAACATTGATTTTCGCTTC